AAATGAACTAATCGGACGGTCATCCTTCATCGTCCCCAAACCAAAACCCTAACCTCAGAATTTCACTCCCCATGCAGCCATGTTCAGGTCCCTCATGCTCCTTCAATACGCCATGAAATCAAGACTTATAAAGACCAAACTGACTCCATTTCTTCCCCTCTACAAGACTATGCTCTTAGTTTTAACTGAAACCAATCCTATAATAAAACCCGATCGGTGGAAACCTTTGATTCATCAAATGTACACTGCAATGGAAGTTCACCAAACTTGCCAACTCTTGTACTAATGTATTCTCCATATTGCACTGATTACTTTGAGCTAATTTACCATGATTAACATCCCCTAAACTAAGGTTTCTTGATCATCAAAGTCTCAACCCTCTGCCATCAAACTTCATAGAACTCTCTCTAAATCTCAGGAATTGATCACCTATGGTTTCTAAGCATTTTGATCCTAACAACATGATCTAAAACTGAATAAATAAGGCGATTCGAAGAGAAATGCATACCTTGCAAGTGATGATGACTATGGTGGTTTCCCTTCAATTCAAACCTTGAAGCTTGCTTCGAGTGATCTTCAATGGATGCTGGTCTTTCTGTTTGCACTGGTTCTTGCTCAAACTTCTTGAATCACCCTAGCCACTCCTTCATGCAACTTGGAGTGAAGCTTTGGATCTCATGAACCAGCCACGAATTCCTCTCACTCTTGTTTGCCAATTGCTCTATGATGATGATGGAAGACGATGGAAACAAGAACTATGATGATTGATGAAGTTTTAATGGAGTTTGAGATCCAAATGCAACATTGATGAAGGAATTCAAACTATGGTATGCAAGCACAATCAATCACCAACCCCTGCATGGATCCACTCTAGGGCATATATAGATGTCAAAAGAAACATCTAGAAGTTTTGAGAACTTTCCAAGAAGTTTCTAGAACTTCTCATGCAATGAGATTTTCAACTTTTCTATTTTTTAGTAAACCCCATGAGATCTCATGATAACCATGCACTTCTCCTTAAAATCCCCTTATATGAGATGGTAAAATGAAAACAAGGCATTTCAAGTCATTTTAAGGCTTTGGCAAGCTTTTCCTTTTGGTACCTTAAAATGCAAGAATCAAATTTACAAAGGAAGTCCAATTTTTAAGCCTAAACTCAAAAATGTGGCTGAACCAATGTCTCTAAAATGATGTTTGGAATCAATTTGGTATATTTGATGACCCATATTGGATTTGTAGATCTCTCAAACCAATTTTTCATTTCAACTTTTTCAACTTATATGCCCTTTTTTAGGTCATTTTCCACCAACTTTGGTCAAGCCTCATTCCATGCATTTACAAACTTTTATGACTTATTTTATAGACTTAAAATGGCATTTTGAGCAACGTTTATGTTGTGAAGTTTTTCATTTGAAGCTTCCTTGAATGGGTTTTAGGCATAGGCTAAAAATGACCTGTAATTCTCAGATGACCAAAATACCCTTTTCTTGCCAAGACCATAAGTAGAGTTCCACAAATCATATGAAGGCATACTATACCATTCTAGAAAGCTAAGACAATGAGGAACAACTCTTATGTTGACCAGAAATTCATTTGAAATCTCCTTGAATGGTAAAAATTGCTTGGAAGTCAAGTCACTTTCACAGACAAAATCTCAGATACCTCAGATGACCTGTAACTTGCAAGGACCATAACTTGAGTTCTATAAATCTCCTTGATGTCTTCCACCACTCAAATTAAAGGTCTTGAGATCCCCTACAAGTTTCATGTTGGCCAAGGATCCATTTGAAGCTTGCATTTTGATTTATCCTGCTTAGAAATTTGACCTATATTAGGGGATTTTACACAGAAACCCTAATTTAGAAACTCCTCTTCTCCTTGATTTCTCTTGAATTATTCTTGGCATATCACCATATCCTCTTCTACATGTCAAATGATGAACCCCACACCTTTCCAATAGCCCTTAATGTCTTTCAACCAGTCAATTGACCTAGAGTTGACCCCAGATGAAACCCTAGTTGACTGTCTTCAACTGCAATTCTTGTGATCACACCAATGACTTGTCTCCTTCTCCAAATGACTTTCTAAGTCTCCCATGATACCCAGATACTATCCATGCTCAGCCCACAGCTCACAATTTCTTTGTTGATCCTCAGATACCCTCAGATAGGAGATGGATGCACTTGCTTGATCCATTGACTTGATAGCTTTCAAATTCTTTCTGATGACTTGAATGGGATTGAATTAGAATAATAACCTCTTGATAGGCTCATAGAGATGAGAATGATGATTGGTCCCTTGTTGGATGCCTTGCTATGTTTATGCTATGCAGATGGTTAGACTATGTACCTGCCTCTATATGCAAATGTTAATAATATTGAAACATAAACCAAGTGAATAAGGTTGAGCAAATTTTAGGGTGCAACAGCCTTGGCTTCGCTACTGCTTCGCATAGCGAACATGTTGGATTCTTCCTCATTTATCTAGCTTCCTTGTCCATTCAATTGTGCTTTGTTCTTTGATAATCCAACCTAGTTCCTACATAATAACACACATATCAAGGCATCCAAAGGTAAAATCGATTTCATCAAAGAATCTCATAAGAACATGGAATAAATCAATTGAAACTTGAGAAATGAGTTAAAAAATGCCAAGAATCATGGATCAAAATAAGACATATTTGGCATTCAACATCGAACCGGGCAGTAAGTTTCTCCTCAAAGTTGATGAATGGTTGTGCTCTGTTCAACGGCTCTTTCACATTACAAGCCTCCTTACACCCAAATTTCTGCTTGAATGAGCTATCATGTATTAGTTCATTTTGAAATATCCAACATTTTAGTACCTCTTCAGCTTCTTCTACTTCAACCACTACTTATGTAAAACAGTCGATGTACGACCACAAGCTCTCTTTCTTCCCCTGAGTTATCCCCTAAGGACAATTATTATCTCTGGTTGCTTTTTTGGGTTGTAAATAAGCGGAAGCTCTCACACAGATTGATCCACGACTCAATGCTCATGTCCGACAAAGCCTTGAACTAGAATATTGCATATTCCATCAATGTTAGTGCAAATAGTTTCCACTTTATTGTCTTATGAGCGTGTAATTAATTCAAACATTCATTAGTGAGTGGTGCATGCTTGTCGGGATCTTCTTTTTTGTCTTTCTCCTTCAGCTTTGGAAGTTTCTCTAGTGACTTTAGTATTTAGTTGTCCAAGATGTGAGCACAAAGAGGATGCTTCTGCAGATTCATCACTGGTGGTTTCTCTACTTGTTCCTGAGGAGAAATGTGACTGCCTCGGTTTCCTCTGGGACTTTGAGGAGGAGTTTGGCGTCCCTCACTCTTTTGGCGATTTTGATACTTTGGAGTAACGTCTCTCTGCGATGCAGCCGACTCAGGGATAATAGGTTGACTTCTCCTGGAAGCGGCTTCCTGCACAGTGTTCCCTTTCAGAGGTGTATTGTGTAAGCTTTCTTCCAAGTGAGGCAATCTTTCTTCTATCGCTTGTGAGTTTTGCTGTCAAATAATGTTATACATATTGTTCAGTAACTCGTTCGTGCCTTATATCCTGAGATTAACCTCTAAAACTGAAACCAGGAAAGCTTCTGGTCTTGGAGTTGATGGCGGTGCTGGAGGTCTAGGCGAAGGCTTGCCTTGTTGGAACTGCAGAACAACTCCTCTGATTTGAGGAGGTTAAAGGAGATCTGGATGTAACAAAGTGTTTACGAAGGCCTGATCCACACTGCCTTGAGGAGGAGGCAGTTGATTTCTTATGGCTTGAGCAGCAGTAGTAACAATGACAACTTTGCATAAAGCAACTGAGTGAGTGTCTTTAGATCCAGCCATCGTTGGAAATTTTGGAGATCAAAGATTTAGAAATTCTGAAAATTAAAGTTGACCCATTACCGGAATAGATCCAAAACAACAGATCTAAAGTTCGATCTCGAGAACTCTGATATGCTAGATGGAGAAAGCTTTGAATCAATGAATTTAAGTGAAAATGTTCATGGGAAATGCGAGAATCACAAGTCAGTTCCTACAGACGGCACCACTGCTTCATTATGGGACTAAAATTGATCTCATAATGGAAGTTGCAGGATGCTAAGGTTGACTTGAACTTCTGATGCGGTGAAAGAGGGGCTGGCATACAAGATTAACATTTCAACACTTAAGTCAAGCCAATATGTAATTGAAATGAGTGAATGAAATTTAAATTTAAAATTGTATATTTAAAGAATAACGCATTTTCATTTGCGCATTTTCACTTATACGTTGGAGTGGTTGTAATCGCTTGCTATTATTCAAGAGTAAGATTCTGGAAGCCGATGAATGTATCTTAACTTAAATTCCTATGATCTTTCCCACAATAACACTCCTACACTTCTACGCTACAATTGGAGGAATTTGTTGTTTTCTCTAAACTAAAGACCTGCTGGCTCTTCCAGTCGGCCTATGATGTATTTATAATTTCTTTATATTGGAGGTGACTATAATTTTACATTTTTATTATAGATGAGTAGAAATATAAAGAATTTAAGTAAAAAGCTTTAAATAATTTCTAACACTATATCATTATCTCATATAATTCACTCGCTATTTCCATCATATGATCAGCCATGTGTTTTATGAAAATATAGTTAAAGTTTAAACTACTCAACTTCAATCAGTGAGCATTCATCACATCATAGGATATTTGAAGGCTTGAAGCTAAAGGAAAAAGCCAACAAATTTTTTTTTTAACTTTGTATTGATTTTCAACCGAAAAGTTATCTCACAAAAATAAAATAAAACAATTTTTTTGCACAACATATAAAAAACAATATAGGGAAACAAAGGGAATGGAGAAAGTGATGAGGCAAGAGAAGCTTGAACTTCACATATCAATTCAACCAACGGCCATATTCTACTCTCTCATCTTTCACTACGGCTAATATAAAATCTCATCTTTATTATTTCTAAAATGTGGGTTGATTTTTTTCACTGTAAAAAAAAGTGTCAATGAAAACTGGGTCGAACTTAGAATCATTGGTTGTTCCAAAAAGTGATGAAAAACCAAGGGACTTGCGTTCATGGGCGAAGAAAACAGATTTTGTTTCTGATTACTCAGGAGAAGTAGGGTCAAGTGGAAGTGAAAAGTTTGAGCTTTTTGAACAGAGAGGAAGAGGGTCTTCATCTTCCACTGAGATAGAAATAGGACAGAACAAGGATGCTGAGATCCAACGTGTGAATGCATGGTGCTGTTGTTGGTTTAAGTGTCTGGGAAATAGAAATGTCAAGCCTGTGTATATGAGAAACGAGAAATGAAAAGACACATGTTTTCATAGGGATTGTAAGGTTGATGAGATTAAGTGTAACCTATTACCTCCTTTCAGATTTTGATATTTTTTAAGATAGTAGAGTTTGTAACCAATTACATTTTATATTTTATGTAATCGGTTAGATGGTTGAAAAAATGTTTTTCATATTGGGCTGTCAATGAAATACTTTTCTTTTCACTTTCTCTCTCATACACAAAGCTCTTAAAATCTTCTAGCACATATGGGCCAACCTGCATGTCAAACCCAAAATTTTTTAGAATTTGAGTCTTAAAATTAGAGTCTATATTTTTTATTGATTTTTTTTATCCCGATCTAAAAAATCCGCTATCCATTAGAACTAATTCATATATATGTAACTCGTTAGGTCCGCATAACTATAAATTTAAACAAAATCATATTAATACTTATATTGTCATACTTCAAAATAACACATTGATTTTTCTCACCTCACTAAATTGTATATCTATTTTATTCAATTTTTCTCTTTTAAATCTTATACATTAATATAATCAACACTCTTTTCTTGTATTCTATTAGTTTCTCTTATGTTAAATATTTGAGTATTGTTCTATACAATTTAGACATGTGTTATAGTTAAAAATATATTATAGTATTTATAAAAGATAATATAGTACTTAAAAAAAGTATTATGTTTAAAATAATATAATTTTAAATTTCTTTTATGATAAATATTATGGATTTTTTTTTTAATTTTTTATTAAAAAAAGTTTGTTTAGGGCCGGGTAGCTTGAAGCTCATCTTGGATCGGCACTAGGTAGTAAATTTTGAGTCCATATTACAACAAAGATTTTTTTGCCCCAACCCTAAAAAGCATGAAGCTCACCAGGGCTGGCCCACTTAGGGTTGGCTAGCCCATTTTGACAGCTTTACACACACACATACACACTTGTTCATCATTGTGATTAGATTTTTTTCCAACATTTGGCATCAGGAGTCTGATCCTTTGATCAAATACTTAGTGTGCAAAAATACTCGATGCGAAGAATTGTGATAAATGGTGCAAATAGATGAAGGTGTTGTCTGGTTATCAAGATGGGCACAAGGAAGAGACTTTAGTCGAGTCCCTAAAACGAGACTTTAGTCGAGTCCCTCAGGTAAGACTTTAAAGGAGTCCCTTGGAGAAACATCGGTTGAGTCTCTTAGGCGAGACATCAGTTGAGGCCGCAAGAATATTTAAGTGGAAGTCCAATATTCATATTGCCCATTTCAATGTGGCAATGATCTTTCAATAGAAGTCCAACATTCATATTGACATTTTCAAGGAGGCAAGAATCTTTCAGTGAAAGTCTTGCATTCATATTTCCATTTTCAAGGCGGAAAAGATCTTCAAGTGGAAGTCCAACCTTCATATTGCCGTATTCAAGGCGGCAAGGATCTTTTAGTGGAAATCCAACATTCATATTTCCATTTTCGAGGCGACAATGATCTTTCAGTGGAAGTCCGTCATTCATATTGTTAGTAGAATCAAAATAACATGTTTTAAATGATAAAACTTTCTAAGAGATTTATACGTTAATATGTAATCCATTGCCGCGCACAAGTAAAAAACTAGTTAATAAAAATGTAGTTTAGGGAAGCCACACTCGATTCGTATTGCAAGGACTCCTAATTCAATAAACTAAATTTATAATCAATAAAGTTGAAAGTATTTTTTTTAGTTTGGGAAGTTTTAGGGTTATTCAATAAAATGAGTAAAAATTAATTGGTCCACTGAATCAACAACTCTGAACTATCGATTCTACGATTCAATATCTTATTTCAATTTTATTTATGTTTGACTTTATAGTACATTAAGCAAGTGACAATCTACCCAAGTTGAGGTCCTATTACCGGATAAAGCATCACGACTGATGGTGAGCTATAGTTAAACAATTAAGTATAGTAAAACTATAACCTATCAATTATTCCCTAAGGAACTGAATTTATTCTGGGACGGCCAAACCGCCAATGCAAGCACAATCCATGTATCCATTCCAACTATTCAAAGCCCAAACAAAATTTTCCAACATATATAATCAAGACACACGAGATCCAAAGTACACTTTTCGTCTCAACCTTTTGACTTCACTCATCTTGGATTGTAACTAACTTGGTGTTGGAGTGCAAATCTTGCAGGTCCACCCTGCTAGGGGTGTTAAAAAGGGTTGTGGTCTGCCGGACCGACCCACTCGCCTGCCAAAAAATGGTGGGTTGGATTGAGATTTTGAACCTACCTTCTCGCTCAACCAGACCTGCCAAAACAAAAAAACCCCGCGAGCTAAAGACAAAACAGTGCAAGTTGGTCTGCCAAGCCCGCTTAATTTTTTTTAAAAATTGTTAAATACATAAAATTACGTTTACTTTTTAGATTCAACTATTTTTCCAAGAGTTAAAGGGTGAATTTATAAATGTAACATCTTATTTCTTGTAGGTATCTAAAATAAATTGACAGGGAAAAAATCCCAAATGTAACATATTGCATTTATAGGTTAACTATTGTACCAAAGACATGCTTACACATTCACTATGGGAGGCAATGCATACATCAAAAGAGAGTTTGGAAGATGTTAAGGTAGTATATTTTTAATTACAAGTGATGTACTATTTTCATATAACTTCTACCCCCTCGGAATTTATTCATGAATTTGTACTAACAGAGATGATAACTTGTATAAATGAGTTTGTAATAAGAATATCTTCATCATTGTGGTGTTTGACTACTATTTCTTACAGATCCATCATTTCTTTGTGTGAATTATTAAGTATATGTTAATACTTTATATTATTTTATACATTTATTTATAAATATATGCAATATTTTTTATAAATAAAATTTGTTACAAAGATGCTTTATAAAAAATTCTTAAAAATAAGTGAAAAATCTAATTGAAATGTAAAAAAATATTAATCTATTAAAAAAAATAAAAAATAGGCGGGCCTGTTGTTGCACCCTAAAATTTGCCCAACATTTCTTTACCTAGCTTATGTTTCATTTCATTCACATTAGCATTATCATTTGCATTTCATTGACATGTATGCAGGAGATCAAGAGGTATGATTACCAATCAAGAGCTACACAAGACTTTGAAGCTAGATAAGAAGGTTATTCAAGTGTTCAAGGGTTGATATCCTTGTCAGAGAAGTTAAAAGATCCTCAGAGTGAGTGGTTGAAACCAAGGATGTGTGCCTCCTAACTTGATAGTTGTGGAAAGCCATCAGATGATTCTGAAGCCATAAGGATGGACTTGAGGTCTTAAGAGAGCTAATGAGAAGTGTTGAAGATCACTTTGAGGCCTAGACAGGTCATTGTGCAAGATTAAGAAGACTCAGCCATGAGTGGTGCAATTAGGGTTTGATTGGGTCAAACCTGAGTCAACTGATGATTTGGACAAGGTTGAGACCTAGTCCAAGAGCCATGTGATCATGGATTGACACATTGAGATGCTATAAGGATGATTCCAAGGTTAACTCATCATGATTGAAGAGTTTGAGAAGTTTCAGGCTAGGGTTTCTAAGGCTTGACAGTGTAAAATCCCCTAGTTTGACCCCTATCTTCAAGGCAGTTTAGCTCAAGATGTGATTGTCATCTTGATAACACGAAATCATATAGATATTTTCATGCATATTTCAACTAAAGTCTAACCGTTTTCGATCCGATTTCGGGTTATTTCCATGTATTTGTCTGATGTTTTTGCAGGTATTCAACGATCACGTTTAAATGAGGCAACATGAAGAAAAGAAGCAATCCCAGATGAAATATGGACGAAAAAGGAGTGAAAACACAATGAAAAACGCAGCAGACAGTTTTTGCTGATGTGACGACCGTCACAGATGCATGACGACCGTCACACGGGTGACGACCGTCACACCTTGTGACGACCGTCATGCAGGCAAAAACGCCCCACTCAGATTACACGTCAAAAGAGCAGTTCCAATTCCCATTAAATGGTCCACTACTCCCTAAATTATCTGCCTCAAGGTCCATCATCCTCAGAGGTAACCGTTGGAATTCCACCTCTATAAAAAGGGAAGCAGGGGACTTCAAAAAGGGAGTTGCATTCATACCACGAAGTGCTGCCAAATTTACTTTCCAGCAAATTTACTTTCAGTTATTATTTGTATCCATTTCTCCAGTTTTATTTGTATCCCTTTCCTTTATTTCCCTTTCCATTTTTACTCATTCCCATTTCCGCTCTTCTGTAATTGTTACTGCACTGTACGATCGAATTGGAACTAAAGACAGAATCCTGCCAACATCTGTGGAGGATCTGCCCAAAGGCCAATTGGCATTATTTACAGGTTTTCATTTTGATCGACTTCTATTTTATCATAATGCAATTTATTATTTATTATTATTATTTATGTTTTGCTTTTCTAAATTCCATGTCTAGCTAAACTTAGGTAATCGATATGTAGTAATAATTCGAATGGGACTTGATAACTCTTGTTTGAAAACTTTCTTTTCACAAAAATAACTTATGGTCTAAGTGTTTAAAATTGATTTACGAAATGAACTTCGTCGCGAAAGCGAGAACTTATTTTAAAGTAGTTTTGCCACGAAAGTGGAAAATTAATTAAGATACGAACCAACAAGCGAAAGTTGCGGTAAGGTCAGATAGTAAACACTAGGCATTTGTTTTAATAACAGCGAAAGCACTTTAAAACGAATTAGAACTTAGAGATTTCCAAAAAGTAATTTTAACCCCGAACGGAACACGAAAGTGTACGTTAGGCCCTTAGGATTATGATTAGCGTCAATAACTATTGTGAGACGAGAGTCTTCAAATCTCCATTTTCTGCTTAAATAAACTGTGAAAACTATTTCATACACCAGTCACTTATCAAGTCCCTGAAGAAAACAATTACTACGTATCGATTTAATTAATCAAAAATCTAAACAGAAATCTTATTTCCCCTTTTTGTGACAACCTTATTCCCTTAAAACATATTCTACCTAGCTAAACATAGTAACTCCCGAGAACACTA